ACCGCCTGCTCAACCGGGACGGTGACGGAGCCGCCCTGCCGGGTGGCCGCGAAGACCCCGTGCGCCAGCAGCCGCGGGGCGCTTAGGACAGAGCCTGGCCCGCGGCGGCCCCTGCGGAGGAGGAGGCGGCGGCGGTTGCTCCTGGCCGTGTTCCTGTTTCCGCGATGGGTTTTTAAGTGGGCGGAGGGCCACGGGACGCCCCTCCCTGTCGCGGCTGCTGGGAACCTGACTCCGAGGAGCGGAATCGCCGGACGGAGCTCCGGGGTGTGGTCCCAGGGCAGCACGCACCCCCGCCCCACCGCCCCGGGAGCCGATTAGTGCTCGCTCTCCACGCCAGAACTCGCTTCTCTAACCCTCGGTCACCCACAAAATCCCACTAAAGTTCGCGTGTGTGCGCGCGCAGTTCTAGGGGGAAGGAGGGGGGAGGCTGCGTCCACGCTTAAGCCAGAGGGACAAAAGAAGAAGGAAAGACAGAAGTTGGTGGGGGCAGGAGGAGGGGCGCCCGGAACTCCAGGCCCCGTGGCCAGTGGCTGGGCAGAGAGGTGACTGCACCCAGCAGAGGCCAATGCGGCCCGATGCGGGGACAGCCTCCGGGCCATGCCCCAGAACGAGGTGGGGGGCGGGGTGAGACCCCCGAAGAGAGCAGGTGCAGGTCCTGTCCCCACCGGGAGGGGGCGCTCGCACAGCGGATTTCGCGTCGTCTCCTGGACACGCGCCTGCCTGCTGGACCGAGTGACACCTGCAGGTTCACCTGGGCTCACACCCGGGGTGCAGGTCAGTGAACTGGGGCTCGGGGGTGACCACAGTAGTAACAGCCAGGACAGAACAGGGCTGGCGCTTGCACCCACTTGGGCCGACCTCAAAATCTACGCGGTGCTCGCGAAGGCGCGGGAGGAGCCGTGGGGAAACGGGAGGGTGCGCGCGGATGGAGTCCGAGTCTGGAGCAGCGCGGGGGGAAACCGCGCACACGTGGCTGGACGCGCAGTGCCGCTGCGTGGGGAGGGCGCAGCGGGAGCTGCGCCCGGCAGCCTGGGTCTGAGGGCGGCGGCTGTGGCCAAGTGGCTGGGTTTGACGTTTTAACTAATCTGCATGAACTGTGACCTCTCCGTGGGGCTCATGGGTACCAAATCAACAGCCCGGCTCTAGAACGGGGTCTCTCAGAGCCCAACCAGCTCTGGCATTCTAGAACTCTCCAGATAACGCTCCCACAACCCGTCCCCAGAACCACCACCACCCACACACACACACACACACACACACACACACACACACACACACACACACACAGGAGGGGAACGTGAAGTCAAAGGACTGGAGTTAGCTGTCATCCTCAAAACAAACAGTAGGTGTCTCCATTGTCCCAGAAGCTCCGCGGGCGGAAGTGGCTTCCGGTTTAGCCAGCCTGCTGTCACTCAGCCGGCCCCAGGCCCAGGGATCAAGTCTCAGTCCAGGAAGCTCCCTACGTGTGACCCACGGGGCTGCCTCCCCAAGGCGCAGACAGTGGACAGCCGGGCCATTCGCAGGCCCCTGGCAGCAGAGCCCTGTTGAGGGTGAGGGTGGGGGCGCGGGGAGGCGGTTTCCCCCAGCCCTGGGCCCCAGGGTCCCCTCCACACTCGGTCTGGACAAAAGCACACAGCAAATGTAGATGAGGATACAGTCACCCACGACTACACTCTGCACATTAACCCTGAGGCGTCCCTCAGCCCCTGCGGAAGCTCAGGTCTTCGTGTCCGACCCCGCTCCCACCTCAGAGACAGAAACTGCAGCGGCCGAGGGAAATGCATGGACGGGGGTGGAGGCGGTCACCAGGCACGCCGACCCCCGGGGCTAGAAGCCCGGTTCCTGCCGCTCGCCACCCACGGTAAACGGCTGATGACTCGGGAGGACCAGCTGCCTCGGTTTAGGAGGGTCATTTCCAAGGTCACCTGTGTGGGCACACCAGCACTGCACGGGCTCACCACTGTGCAGACTCATGGCTGCACAGACTGTCTGTTGCACAGGCTCATTGCACAGACTGACTGTTGCACTGACTCACTATTGCACACTGATTACTGCACAAACTCATTATTGCACAGACTCACTGTTGCATAGGCCTCACTGTTGCCCAGACTCACTGTTGCCCAGACTCACTGTTGCACAGACTCACTGTTGCACAGGCCTCACTGTTGCACAGACTCACTGTTGCCCAGACTCACTGTTGCACAGACTCACAGTTGCCCAGACTCATTATTGCACAGATTCACTATTGCATGGACTCGCTATTGCACACTCACTGTTGCATAGACTCACTGTTGTACAAGCTCATTACTGCACAGACTCACCATTGCACAGACTCACACTTTGCACACTCACAGTTGCCCAGACTCACTATTGCACAGACTCACTGTTGCACAGACTCACTATTGCACACTCGCTGTTGCACAGACTCACTATTGTACAAGCTCATTATTGCCCAGACTCACTGTTACCCAGACTCATTATTGCCCAGACTCACCATTGCACAGACTCACTATTGCACAGACTATTGCACACTCACTGTTGCACAGACTCACTATTGCACAGACTGACTATTGCACACTCACTGTTGCACAGACTCACTATTGAACAAGCTCATTCTTGCACAGACTCACTGTTACCCAGGCTCACTGCACTCACTCACCTCGTCGCCCTGGTCCTCTGACTCCCCAGGTAAAAAGTGGCTGGTTGGCAAACTGCCAGAGGCACTCACGGTGGCGGGTTCTGCATGTAAACGGCCGGTGATTCAAAAAGAGCAGCTCTTCCCTGCAGCCCCACTCCGCGGCAGCTGCTGTCGTACCTCCACTCCCCACAGACGGGGCCCCTCTGGAGGCGCTTCCATTTAACATCTTAGTGGAGCTACCTCGTTCATTGTTTTCTCGGCCTCGGTGAAACGTTTTATTCCAACTAAAGACATCTTCATCGAGCCTTCGCTTCCACAGTCAGTCAGCTCACACCACACGCATGCTCAGACACACTCGGCTTCACCCCACGCCCCCCCACCCCTCGCCCACGTGCCCTGGCCCGGGGCACCCGGAAACCCTGCTGCATCCCTCCCTCCCTCCCAGATGTCGGTGCAGAAGGCAACGAGATCTCCTTCCCCACTAACCCCAGATGCCTTCCTGAGAGGCGACAGGCCTCATACAGTGGCCTGATGCACAAAGCCCTCCCCCTAGTGGCCTGGCGCCCCCAGGAGCCCCCAGACAACCAGCTCTATCCGCTGCAGCCTCAGATGTGGTTTCCAGCCTCGCAACGCCTGCTCTTGCAAGATGTGGCGCGTCGACCGCGACAGCCAGGAAACTGGCGCTGCCTGCCCAGGGCTGTGCTTTCAAGTGGGGGGCTCACGGCCGCAGAGCGGGGTCTCCGTGCTCTCGGCGAGGGCCGCCTCAGCTCACACACACCTGTCCGGGGCTCCAGAGGCAGCCAGACCAAAACCCGACCAGCCCTCTCTCAGACCGTCAGCAAAGTAACCAAGCACAAACGAAAACAGAACGAACGTTGGAAAGACACTAAAATGGACTCTAAGGAGTTTTTACATCACTGTTCGTTGCAGTCAGCCAAACTCCTCTGCGGTGCTGGTGTGGGATACTGATGAACCGGCCGCGATCACCGATACCTCCCTGTGTCAGTGGTCCCTCCTCTGCCGGAGGTGCAGTTAGTGCGGACAACACCGAGAAGCTGTCGAGGGCTCTGCGTCACTCGGTGTCCGAAAGCACAGAGAACAAGATGTGAGTCCCCACACACCTGTCACCCAGCCCCCCGCCCCGGTTCATTGGCAACGCGCCAGTTCGAGGACTGTTGAAAGGTAGATACATCAGTGTCTTCTATCCCTATGTAAAGGGTGTGTTTTCACAAAGTGAATGAAACAGCCCCCTGAGCGTGCCGTGGCAAAGGAACGGCTGAGTCCAGTCTCAGACACGAGAGGCGGGTTCTCCCCGGGCTCTGGCGAGTGAACACCACAGGGGTGGGTTGCCCTGGGCAACGGTCCCTGGCCTCCGGGAGCGGAAGGGGCAGGCAGGGGGTGGTTATAAAGCGTGAACCCCTATGTTCCTGGGAAAGAGGCCCCAAGCACCCCCGGCCCAGCCAGGGTCTGACCCTCCAAGGAGACGCCCCCGCTACCCCGTCCGTTTCCTGCCCCAGCGACACTGCAGGCCGGAGCTTTGCCCTCGGGCTGTGCCTGACCCGGACAGCGACTTGGGGGGTGGGCCAGGGCAACTTGCCGAGGGCCGACCATGTGTCGGGCGACCCCTCACAGCAGCGCCTCCATGCCGACTACAGTTTTCCAATCACCAGGGAAACGGGGAGAGAAATGCCGGATCCCCCAGACCGAGTACATCCGTCACCACTTCGCCGCACATCTGTCAAGCCCCCCCTGCGGTGTGTCTGCCCTTCACCCCTGCATCGGAGGACGGGGATTCCTGGCATCGACGGCCTCGCCCGCCTCACCCGAGCAGCTCCCGCGAGGGCCGTGGGGAGAGGCTCGCCAGCCCACCTGTGTCTGCAGCCCCGGGGGCACGGCCTTCCCTCGTCCACCCAGTTCCTTCTCCAAACGTGCCTGCGTTCCCGCGAGCAGCCCCCCCCGGGGGGGGGGGGCCAGCACCGCCCCCACCCTCTTCGCTCCAGCTACGCAAGGCCCCCTGCCCCCGAGGCACCCGCCTTCCTCCAGGGGTTTCAGCCTCCTCGGCTGGCCTGCCGGTTCAGCTCCGAGACGGCCAAGAAAAGCAATGACTGTGTAGATCACTCGTGTTTTCCTTCGTTGCAGATGTAGAATTATCCCTCCCTCTCTCCAGCCTCGCACCCCCGGAGCAGAGTCCCGGGTCTGCAGCCAGGGCGCTGCCCAGGTCGTGTCCCTGAGTACTGAAGTGGGGGCGGGGACAGTGACAACAGGACAGCCTCCAAGATGTCAAATGCGGAGGTTCCTCCGGAAGTGAAGCGCATAACCACCACGAGAACCAGAAGCTTCACTCCCAGGGGCAGAACCGAAAGGCGGGGGGCACTCGGACGGACACTTACAGGTCAGTGTGCGTGGTGGCGCGCTCACAGTGGCCGGCGGGAGACCCCGCACGGGTCGGCCAGCAGAGGAGTGGCTACACCAGAGGTGACGACGGACGCAGGCGGCGCCATGCCAGTCAGCCACCAGGAGGCACGAAGTTCCGGGACTTTCTACGCCTGAACAGACCCTGGCGATAGTGCACGCAGTGAAGCGAGCCAGGCACGGGGACACGTGCCGTGTGGTTTCGCTCGTCTGCAATGCTGGGACCGGCAGACTCGTGGGGACAGGAAGTGGAGGCGGGGGTGCCGGGGCCCGAGGGGGGCGGAAGGGGGGCCGGCCACCGCCAGGTGCCGGCTGGGTCTCTGTTTCAGGTGCCGAGAACCCTGAAAACGGGTGGTGGCGGTGGGTGCCCAGCCCCGGGACTGTAATTAGTGCCACTGAGTTGGACACTTGAAGTGGTGAAAGTGGCCAATTTTATGTGACACACGTTTTAGCACGATTTTTTAAAATCGATGCCAGTAATGTAGCAAAACCCATACCTTTTAAAGGGTGAGCTGAGTGGCGTGTAAAGCGAGTCTCACTGAGTTGGTTAAGAAAGAAGAGACGAAATGCGGGGCGGCCCCCGAGGTCCCCCCACACACAGCGCCGGGGCGGCCAGGACCGGCCGTGCGGCCACAGGGGCCGGAGCTGCAGGCTGGGGGCAGGGCCCAGGCGAGCCAGCTGCTGCACTGCCTGGAAAGCCCGCCGCAGAGAAACCTCTGGCCCAGACCACATCTGTGCGACCAAAGTACAACCGGAAAGACTGGGTGGGAACCTCACGAACGTCTCTTCTTGTGACAAAATCTAAAGTTCAAAAAGTCAGAGGAGTTACAAAGTCAGGAGTTTCCCTGGAGCGGGGTTCCTGCCACCCTCCCTCCTTCAGGGAAAACCTGTTTCCTCCCGGCCTTCCCCGTGGGGGGGCGGGGGGGGCAGGGGCGGGGCTGTGGGAGAAACAAGGGGGCCCGCCTGTCCCCTCAGCCCACCCCTCCCCCTGGGCCTGTCTGTCCTGACAAACTCGTTAGCGCTGAGCGACCTCCCCTGACCCCGTCCCCCGGGTCACTCCGGCCCCGCAGCTCCAGTTCCCTCGGCTTCATTAGACTCAAGTCCCCTGACTTCTGTTCATTAGAAAGATGCCACCCCGCTCACTGAGTGGAACCAGTTCCCTCGAGTTCTTGTTCATCATGAGAAAAAAGTTGAAAAGAACCTAAATGCCCCCAATAAAGGATTAGGTAGGCAGCGTTAGGTACCTTCCCAGTGCCCACAGGACACTAGGCCGTCACCTGGAATCACGGCCCAGCGGCAACACGTGTTAACCTCTGGCATGGACCGTGTTCTGGTTTCGGCTCTGCGTTCGCACAGGCACTGGGGCGTGTGCCACTTGCTTCGACGATGAGCACGCTGCATCACCTGTCTGCTTACGGAGCCATCGTCTCGGGAGAGCAGAGCCCGAGGCCCAGGCTCGGGGGCCGCTGTTTCAGCCAGCCAGTCTCCCCGGGAAGCAGGAGGGAAAAGAGGGGGGCAGGGAAAGACTGCTGCGTGCCTGCAGCTGGGGGGTGCCCAGCCAGGGAGTGGGCGAAGCTGAGGGGGTGAGGGAGCGGCTTCCCCGCCCCCCCCAGCCTCCCCAGAGAGCACAGCCCCGCGGACCCCCAGACTTGAGCCCAGTGAGGCCCACGCCAGACCCCGGCCTCCAGAGCGGTGAAGCAGTTTGTGATAGTTTGTTACAGCAGCCATGGGAAGTCCCAAACGCTGCCTACCTAATTCTTTATTTGGGGGCATTTAGGTTCTTTTCAGCTTTTTCTCATGATGAACAAGAATGCAAGGGAACTCGTTACAGCTAAGTTTTTATGCATCCCCATCATTTATTAAAAAATCATAGACCCGACTCGTTGGGCCAAAGGCCATGCCGAATGCAGGAGCCATCTACGTGTCTGGCCAGCCAGAAAGCTGGCGGAGCCTGGGCACCGTCACCCGTGAGAATTCCCAGCGACAGAGGGCACGCTGCTCATCTGTCCAGCTCCCAGCGGTCTGGCAGGCGGCCCCGGGGCCCGGATGTTTGCGCCGGCCTTCTTACGGCCGGTGAGCGCTGGCCTTCTCATCGCTGGTAACTCACGCTGGGTGCCTGCCCGCCCAGGGGTCTCAGCAGCGAAGGCTCAGACATCCATCCTTTCCCCCGGAACAAGTTCGAAGATGGTACTTCAAAACAATTTCCAGTACAGACATGAATTCTCAGCCTTTTCACACACACACTCACTCATATTTAAAAGTGCAACAGCCGTCCCAAGAAGAGCAACGTCCTCCTGAACATTCTTAATTTGTCGCAGTCGCCATGGCCTCCCCTTTACCCTTGCTGGGGGCGGGAGTGGTCTAACCCAAAGGAAATGACCTCACCTGAGAAACGGCGACCACACCGTCACTGAAATTGTTTTCCACTAATAAAACACCAGCCCCTCCAGCGGCCCGGCAGAGAAGAAACCACCGACACCCTTCGCGCTGCCCTGCATGTCACTGACTGTCGGCACTCGGAGCTGAGTGGTCCCCGCAGCTGGGTGACAGGCGTCATGCAAGCCGCCCTGGCGTTCCCGCTGCTCCTGGCCGCCGGCTGCCTTCTCCTCACTCCTGGAGGTGAGCCGAGTTCCCCCTCGCCTCTTTGCTTTGCTCACGGGAAAATGGGGTGCTGTGTTCACTTAACATTGTGCATGCAGGAAAAAGAAGTCACAACTTAATTTCCAATAGGTTCTTTTGTTCTTGTTTTAATATTTGATTGTTGTTCTATTACAGTTGTCCCAGTTTTTCGCCCTGTGCCCTCTTCTGCCCAGCGCACCCCCCCGCCCACAGTCAGTCCCCTTCCTGTTGTCCACGCCCGTGGGTCCTTCACACGTGTGCTTCGTCCAGTCCCTTCCCCTCCTTTCCACCGTTCACCCCCCTCCTCTCTCTTCTGGTCGCTGTCAGTCTGTTCCATGTTTCATGCCTGTGGTTCTGTTGTGTTTGTTGCTTTATTTTGTTCATTAGAGTCCACTTATAGGTGAGATCATATTGTATTTCTCTTTCACCAACTGGCTTATTTTAGTTGGCATGATGCTCTCCAGTTGCACCCATGCTGTTGCAAAGGGTATAAGCTCTTTCTTTCTTTCTGCTGCATAGAATTCCATCGTGTAAATGTGCCACAGTTTTTTGATCCACTCATTTACTGGTGGGCACCTAGGTTGCTTCCAGCACTTGGCTGTTGTAAATTGTGCTGCTATGAACATTGGGGTGCAGAGGTTCTTATGGGTGGTGTTTCAGGATTCTTAGGGTATAATCCCAGCAGTGGAATTGCTGGGTCAAAAGGCAGTTCTATTTTTAGTTTTTTGAGAAAATTCCATATTGTTCTCCATAGTAGCTATACCAGTCTGCATTCCCACCAGCAGTGCATCAGGGTTTCCTTTTCTCCATATTCCCAGCACTTGTTGTTTGTTGACTTATTAATGATGGCCATTCTGACTGGTGTGAAGTAGTATCTCACTGTGGCTTTAATTTGCATCTCTCTGATAATTAGTGACATTGAGCATCTTTTCACATGTCTCTGGGCACTCTGTATGTCCTCTTTGGAGAAGTGTCTGTTCAGGTTCTTTGCCCACTTTTTAATTGGATTGTTTGTCTTCTTGGTGTTGAGTTGGATGAGTTCTTCATAATTCTGGAGACAGGAATAAACGTAAACAGGAGGTAAAAGACCTGTACTTGGAAAACTGTAGAACAGTGAAGAAATAAATTAAGGGAGATAAAAATAAAAGGAAGCATATACAGTGTTCATAGACTGGAAGAGTTTAACATCATTAAAATGTTTATACTACCCAAAGCAATCTATAGATTCAATACTATTCCTATTAAAATACCAATGGCATATTTTACTGATCTACAACAAATATTTCAAAAATTTATATGGAAACAAAAAGACTGTTGGGAACTGCCCTGCCTGGTTTCAGGAGCTGTAACCCCCCATGGCTAAGGCTGAGTGAGAGACCTTCAGACCATAAGCCACTAAGGAGACACAGCTTATCTCCCTGGCAGGGGTGCTGCCTCTGCCCCTTTTACTTCACCCTGCCTGGCCCCCAGTGCATGATCGCAGTCACCATGTCACCAATGATGGGGAAGATTCCTCAAGGGAGGGATGACCTAAGACAGGCATGGTCACAGAGGACCCCAGGGAAGGACTTGGGGGGCTATGGAGAAAGGGGGTGATGGACCCTCACCCCTCAGTTTTGACATAAACTGAACACTCATTCTGTCTGCAAGAAGTCTCCTGATCTCTTGGCTGCCTTACTTCCCCTACCTGACTCAAGCCTGAAACAATGCCTTAAGCCTGAAGCAATGCTGGAGGTGGGTGCCACCCTGGGCTGGAAAGGGTGGGTTCCCTAGAGTGATCAGGCCTAAGAAAGAATGCATAAAATCCATGAAACCTGCTTTGCTAGTACCCTCAATTTAGATGATAAGGGTCCAAGCAGGAAGTGAGTTTGTTCCCCAAAGTTTTATGGTCCTTTAGCTATCTGACCCTGACTCAGAGTAAGCCCTCAGAGTTCTTTGAATGTTATCTATGGTTTAACCACTTCTGCCTGACAACGACTGGTGAGCTTACGTATACATGCTGTGTCCCTGTGCAAACTGAACCCAATGAAAGCCTGTCTAGGCAAGGGTCGGGGCGCTCTCCCCTGGAGAGAGTGGCCAAGGTGCTCCAAGGCGTTTCCTCCCCTCGAGAGAGAAGCCGCGCTGTCCCTGTTCCTCCACGGGACTCGGGGGTCCGTGTGAATTTGTCTCGTGTCTCATCCACAACACCGCGGACCCCAGGAGCCGGGATCCGCCTCAGAAGACCCCCAGATAGCCTCCGCAATCTTGGGAAAGAAGGGAAAAGTAGGAGGGGTCACAATACCTGGCGTCAAACTGCGTAACAGCCCGCTGTAGTCAAAACAGCCGGGTGCTGGCAGAAGGACAGACACGGGTGAACGGATCAGAACGGAGGCCCAGAGATAATCCCAGGTCCCTGTGGTCAGTCGGTATTTGACGGAGGGGCACGAGCACACGGTGGGGTAAACACAGCCCCCTTCAGTACATGGTACCAGGAGAACTGGGCTGGTACACGCACACAGTGAAGCTGCACCGCCAACTCACGTGGCACCCCAGAATGAACTCAAAATGGATACAAGATTTAAATAGAAGTCGTGACAACACAAAAGTCCTGCAGGGGCGTCCGACCCGGGGCTCGCCGGCCCCGTGTGGTCCAGGATGGCTATGAACGCGACCCAACGCAAAATCGTAAATTTACGTAAAACCTTTTTTTTGCTCATCAGTTTTCATTGGTGTTTGTGTATTTAGTGTGTGTGGGCCAAGACAGCTCTTGTCCTTCCAGGGTGGCCCAGAGATGCCCCCCAAGGCTGGACGGCCCTGTGAGCAGAGCACAGGCAGTACAACTCCAGACATCCCACGTAGCGGTGTTTTTGCCGATTTATCCCCCAGGGCAAGGGGACTACAGGGAAAAATGAACCAATAGGACCACCTCAAACTAGAAAGCTCCTGCACAGCTCCAGAACCATCACCAAAATGAAAAGGGAACCGACCGTCTGGGAGAACATGTTCGCTCATTTCCGACCGTTGTCAATGTTACCTTTCGCCTCTGCTGAAATAGGCACGTTGACTTACTAAGATGAAATGTAACCCTCTGTGTCCACAGCAGAAAACCGGAAGCATTCACTGCACCCGGTGGCTCTCGAACATTCGCGGTGGGGCGATGAGGCAAAACCTCTCAGTGGAAAGGTGATGAAACCATTAAACGGGTGGGGGGACGGTGTCGATGAGCTGTTCCAGGGACCTCCCGGCCGTGATGCACCCTGAACAGTCCTAGCCCTCAGGCCAGCCTGTGCGCTCTCGGCTTCAGGACGTGTCTGCGAACGTCTGTTCCCACCGGTCGGGGTCTGCGAGGAAGCGACAGTGTCCGCGCAGGACTCTCCAGGGATTGCACAGGGAATACCCACCGACGTCAGCACGCAGTACAGCTCCCACTCAGCACCGCACTCTGCCGAGTGCTCTACGGACCGTCACTCACTCAACCTTCCTCAGTGCCAACGTTACCAGCCCATTTTCCACATGGGGAAACCAAGGCGCAGGCAAAGTCATCAGCTAGAAAGTGGCAGAGGTCGGGTTTGAACCCAGAGCCTGTACCCTCCACCACACACCATGATATCACTCAGCTCAACCGTGCCCGCAGGGCTGGGCTTCTCAAAGCAGAGTCCTGAGCTCCCCAAGGCCCAGGACAGGCCTCAGGACGTCCGGGACCCTCCCGAACGCCGTGCAAATATTGACATGCACATGTGTGTCTGCACTGGTGTGTTCGAGAAACTGACAGCTCAGAGATAGAAGAGGTGGGGCGACACTTCTTTAGGAAAACAGTGAACCACACTGGGAGAGTCAGGGTCTTAGACGCCCTGGAGCTGGCTGAGAGCGCGGCTTTGCTCGCACGCCCCGCCCCCCACACTGCGGTCGGCGGCAGAGCCCGGTCCCAAACAAGCCAGTGGCTGGCGAGTCCCAGATGCTTTCGTGATCTTTGTTACTGCCGTTGTTTTCTTTGACTTTAATGTAACTTACTGAGCTCTCGTTCCAACTGACAGCCACACCGTGGCATGCGGGGAGATCGTTGAGACCAGTGAGGCCGGGTCCAGCCTGAGACAGAGGCCACGCAGCCCGCGGTGGGACCTGAGCAGACCGGGGGCTGGGTCAGGGCGACGGGACTCCTCCCACTCTGCTCCCACGGGGGACGCTGAGTAGGTCTTCAGTCTCCGGGGTGGCTGTGAGCTTTCAGAGAAGAGACTCGGTTGTCTGATGTGCCCCACCTCCCTGAGACTGGAAGGGGGTAGGCGTTGTGTTACAGGTGCTGTGAGTTCCCGGGGAAGAGAAGTTAAATGTTGCTTAAATGCCGGACACTGTTACCCAGAGAATCTGCAATTTTATCATGGGAAATTAGAGAAGCTAGAAAAACACTCAACCTTGAACAATTGAAAGAATAACAGCAAGTCACGTTGGGGCCTTTTAAAAAAAATCACTTTGCTACCAGTTCTCTTTTTCAGGACCGGCTCCGAGGTGTCAGGTCGGATGCCAAAGGCGTTTAAACGTGATGCCCGTGAAGTTCATTCTAACACTTCTCTGTGGGCCGCCCCCTCTCTGTGCAGCCCCACCTACGGAATCTCAGTTTCTTTCCGTCTCCTTTGGAAATAAACAAATAAACAGATGCCTGCCCCATGCACACCCCCGGCCGCCCCGCCTGTTCCGTGCACACCCCCGGCCACCCCACCTGCCTCGTGCACACCCCTGGACGCCCCGCCTGCCTCGTGCACACCCCTGGCCGCCCCACCTGCTCCGTGCACACCCCCAACTACCCCGCCTGCTCCGTGCACACCCCCGGCCGCCCCGCCTGTTCCGTGCACACCCCCAGCCGCTCCGCCTGCCTCGTGCACACCCCCGGCTGCCCAGCCTGCCTCGTGCACACCCCCGGCTGCCCAGCCACGAGCTTGTTCTCGGGCCTCTGAGTCCCTTCAGCTCCCCGATTCCTCTCCCTCAGGGTGCTCGGCTCACATCCAGCCCCGTGATCATGGGTGTGTTTGTCCACAGCTTTGCTCGCTCCCTCTTTCTACACCAGGTTCTTCGAGGGTGACAGCTGTGATTCATTCATCTTTGCGTGACTCTGCCAGGGCCTGGACTTTGAAGCACAGGCCAGAGTCCTCCTCACGAGTTTGCTATTTGTCTCTCCCTCCCTACGGGGGGCGGGGCTTGCCGTTTGCTGTTCAGCTACAACATCTGTCTCCCAGCCCCACCCCCCTCACTCAGCCCATCTGCCTCGCCTCCCCGCCGGGTCACTAACACCGAGTAAGAGGAAAACATGAAAACGCACTGAGGTCACTAAGCCCTGCAGCCTCAGTGCGTGGGAGCGAAGGTTTGCCCGGCTGGCGTGGGCTCCCGGAGCAAGGTCGTGGGTTTCGTGTCCCCATCGCACACGCAGGCCTCGTGGGGAAGTCCCGAGACCTCCAGCCACACCGAGCCCCCCCGAGGCCCAGGAGTCGCCTGGCGCCTGCACTCGAGGGGTCAGGGCACAGGGGGGCACGGGCAGGATGGAGTGGTGACTGTACACCCCACACAGCCAGACCCTGGGAATGTGCCACAGGCACCTCAACACTGGGGGGGAAGGGACCTGTGTCCCATGAGCCTCTAGGCCCAGTCAGAGCCCCGGGTGCGCCCCACTGCCCCCCAAGGGCACTTCTAAGGTGCCAAGACCAAGGGTGCCTTCACCTGCACAGGTGCGCGTTCCACCAATGAGGGACTTTCCGACTTGGACAGTCCCGGCGGGCTCCCAGCACTCCAGCCCCTGAGCCGGGGGTGGGAGGGAGCCCCGTGCAATCCCCAGAGCAGAGAGGGTCAGTGTGGGCGCCACAGCCCAGTCCGAGTGCCCTGCCAGGACGCCGCAGCCCCAGCCCCGCCCCCCACTCCAGCCTGCTGCCTTTGCTCCTTTCCCCCCACCCCCGCACCGCCCTGGCTGCGCACACCCCACAGCAGGCAACGGTCTGAAATGCAGATCTGCCGAAACGGCACAGCAGGGGGCATCGCTGCGGGCCAGAGTCACTCCGCCAGGTCCACCCCAGAACTGCCGGGGCCCCAGGCACCCCACAGCCACCTGGGAGCGTATCCACAGGCGGGTTCCCAGGCGCCCCCCGGGCTCCACACCAGCGCCCGAGGGGCGGGCCCAGGGACCCTGCACTGCCCGTGAGGACTGGGAGTGGCCATCACTAACACCGAAGTCAGAGAACCAGTGTGCAAAGAAAGGAGCATTTCTACCTAGTTGTCACGTTTGCCCTAATGATTTCAAAAAAAGAAAGAGAAACCAATGTAGACATTGAAAAAATAATAAAGGCCTAACTCAAGAGGGATGCTTGCTCATACCAAGCATCCCCCACCCCGCCCCCCCCGCCCCCCGACAGAGCCCTGAGCTCACCGCGAGGAAACAGCAGCGACCTCGTGTGCCGCAGGGACGCTGCCCAGGAGGCAAGACCGCCGGCAGAACTGCGTGGCCACCCTGCCCCGCCCCACCCCGCCCCGCCAGGAGCAGCGGTACCTAGGGCCCGGAAGGCGCCCGGTCCTCCCCACCAGCCGCAGACTGGCTCAGAGCAGCAGGGCTGGGCAAGGGAGCCTTCACCCTGGGCTGTTTTTCCAGTTTCCCCAGAACCCCGTGCGAGCATCGTGGGAGGGAAGGAGGTGCCGCCTCACTCCAGAGGCTACATGGCTCTCGTCGAGGGGCCGCGGCTCTGCGCCGGTGCGCTGATCAAAGAGAACTGGGTGCTGACGGCCGCTCACTGCGCCCTGTGAGTAGCTCGGGGCTCCCCTCATTCCCGAGGCGAGGGTGGTGGGGGGGAGGGGGCGGAGCATGGCCCTGACCTTTCCAGCCAGGGCAGGGGGGTGGAGGAGGCAGGGGCAAGTGCACTCGGCGCTCTGGCCTGTACTCCTGCATCTGCTAGCACCGGCCTGGTCCGCAGCATCCAGCTGAAACGCACGACCCTTTCTCAAATTCTTTTAAGGTATGTTTTCACCATAAATTACAAAATTATTAGCGTTTTGAAACGCAGGAAAGGTGAAAAGGAGGCCCATCAGCCTGTGCGCCCCCACACCATCACTGCTAACCCCCCACTATGCATCATCTCAGGCTTCTTCATAAGCAAACCTCACGCCGTCCAGCAGACTGCGTGCCCGTTGCGTAGAATTCACGTGGCCCCACGACGCTGCAGAGTACACTGAACCCTCAGAAATTATTGGTGTTTGACGGTTAGACTTCGAAAAAGAGCGTTTTTCTGTGGCTCAAGCTGAAGCTTGTCCTGACTGCGACCAGAAAGTCACATGGCCACGCCGCGACTTCCTTCCCGAGACCGAGCCCGTGCGGTCGCTCGTCACCAGGGCCGGCGGCGCCTGGTGCACGGCGGCAGGACCGCAGGAGTGAGGGAAGGGGCTGGCAGACCGGCTTCTCGAGGGGAAGACCCACAGGGATTCGCAGCATCTCGCTGTGTGGAATGGGGGTTTCCCGAGTGGGAACTGCAGCCCAAGCCGCACTCTACGTAAAGCGGGCCATCGGCCGGGCTGATTCAGAGGCCCTCGCGGGGCCGAGTCAGCCAGCAGGTCAAGGCCGGGGGGGGGGGGGGGGTGCCACCTCCGCAGCCCGGCCCCCGCACGTCACTCAGCAGACTGGCCCAGCCTCCCCGGCTGGCTCGCTCCCGGTCCTGTGCGTGCACCCGGGCACCTGCGTGCATTTGTTTAGACTCCGATTTATTTTCCTACAAAGTCGAGATGCCTTTCTTCCTGTTCCAAGTTGCACCCTCGAGAGAACCCCACGTCATCATCCCTGCAGACAAAGCCAAGTTCTTGGTCTCCCGGAAGCGCAGAGCAGCAGACCCGCTGCCGCTTCTCGCGCCCGAGGGCCCAGCCCCCTCCACCAGGCGGGGAGGCCGCCAGGGGAGGCCAGCGGGGAAGCCGGCCGCCCGCGCTCCGGGCCTCTGCCTGGGCCGAAGGCCGGGGACCCCCTGCCTGCAGCCCCCGCCTGAAGAAGACGCAGTGAGGCCGAAGCAGCCCGCGACGGCTCACGTCTGAGGAGCTGCAGGCGGGGGCCACTAAACACCCGCGAGCCCCTGCCTCGCTGCGCGTGTGTGGAAATGAAACGGCCGGTGCAAAGAACGCACTGAAAGAACACGTTCAGTTCACGCTCAGGCTCAAGTGCGCCCGCTCTCCCGTGTCAACGGCTTCCTGTCCGCGTGTCTTTCAGGAAGGGCAGACCTCGGGTTGTCCTGGGGGCCCACTCCGCGGCCCACAGAGAGAAGTACGTGCAAGTGTTCCCCGTCAAGAGGGCGGTTCCCTACCCGTGCTTCGACCCGGCGTCCTTTGAAGGGGACCTTCAGCTCCTTCAGGTACATGTGCTTTTTTTTTTTTACCAGTAACTCTTGAAATAGCAAACTTTTGAAATTTGGTTTGTCTGACCTGAAAATGATCTTTACGCCTGCGGCCCCGAGCCACGGCGGGCTAACGCTGGGGTGTGGGGTGAGGCGCACGGCCTTCTGGGACCCGGTGCCGCCGCCGCTGCTGCGGGCTTCTCCTCCAGTGGCGATGCCCCCGGGGCGCTCCCGCAGCCGGCCACCGTGCGGGTCGCTGGGGTTTGCTCAGCAAGGGAGACCTGGGGGGTGGGGGAGGTGCTGGGCGCACGGCAGCTGGGGAGGGGTGGGTGCACTGCAGAACGGGGCACAGTCCGACGTCTGGAGGGGCGGCTGAACGTGACTGGGTGCGCCTGTGCGCATGGCCGCTCTGTGCTGTGCTCTCAGAAGGTCCTTCTGCAGCCCAAACGGTTCGGCAAGGAGGGAGGAAAGAACGAGAATTGTCCCCCCCCCCCCGGGGGCCTAATCTGGTGTGGTCGCACCGCCCCCTCGCCGTGCATTACCTGAGTGAGGTGGGCAGCGAGCTGGGAAGAGGGCAGTGAAGGGGGTGGGGAGAACCCGTGTGCACCTGCCCGGAGCCAGCCTGCAGACCCGTCACTCCGCACACCTGAGGCCGCCTGCGCGGCACGGCCGGGCTCGCCCCGCAGCTCCGGCCGCAGGCACCTGCAGGCGGCTCCACCCCGGCCGGTCGGCTGTCCCGAGCTCACAGGGCCGAGCTCGGCCAAACCCCCCGTGAAGGTGCGCTGGGCTTCTCAGACACCAGCGACTGACGGTCAGGCAGCTGCAACTGCAGCCCCCCTGTCCCGCGGCGTGTAAGGACACGCCCACGGGCACCTGACACGCCCCCCTCAGAGCCGCGTGCCGTGCCCGGCCCCTGGTCCCGGCCTGAAGCGGCCCCTCTTTCAGCTGGAAGGCAGAGCCACCAAAAGCAAAGCTGTGAAAACCCTCGAGCTGCCCAAGACGGGGGACGACGTCCAGCCCGGCACCGAGTGCCGCGTGGCAGGGTGGGGGCGCCCCCGAAGGAACTCCCGGGAACGGGCGAAGGCCCTGAGGGAGGCCAACGTCACCGTGATCGACCGGAGAACGTGCAACGACGTGGCACACTACGACTTCTCGCCGGTCGTGGGTCGCGGCATGATCTGCGCCGGGGGGAGGAGAGGCGAGGACGACTCGTGCGAGGTGAGTGCGTTGCAAACGCCAGCCCTGCCCGGCCCCAGGAGAGGAGGCGAGCTGGAGACAGGAGGACGGGGGACAGCTGTCACCGCTTTCTACGCTCAAGGCCCGTGAGAGCCCTCTGTGCGCCCTCTGTCCCTGGCAAAGCCTTCTGCTCGGGGGGCATCCCCTCCTTCCTGGCAGTCACTTCCAGGTCACCATTTCACTGCCCCCCCCAATGCTGCCCAGACGTCTCAGGAACAGTCATGACGGCCGGTGGGACCGCACCTCCTTCTGTCCCGCGGGCCCCTCAGGCCCCCAAGACAGGCCCCCGAGACAGGCCCCGTGATGGCCAGCTCTGTTTGACGGGCGAGGAAACGAAGGCACAGGGAGTTATGTGACTCCCCCGAGGGAAAGGGCTGTCCATGGGGTGACCCTGGATTGGGACGGAGGCCACCCGACCCCCAGCTCTGCACTGTTAGCGGCGGCCCCTCCTGGAGCCGAGAACGGGCGGGACCAGGGTCGGACCGGACTCGGACCCCCGGTGTGGGAGTGGCCGGCAAGGTCGGGGAGAGAATGAGGGGACCCGATGAAACTCGGAAAACCGCCTCTAAAAGTCGTCTGAGACGCCGCGAGGACGACGTGGTCCCGTGTCCCCCGCCAGGGCGAGGAGTAGCTGAGGTCCCATCCCAAGCCTTCGCGAGGCCCTGACACTCAGTTTTGTCCCCTGACGCCCACGGACCGAGAGCAGAGAGAGAGAAGAGCACTCCTCGCTGCGGCAGGCTTCCCCCAGCAGCCTGCCTCCGCCCGCCCCACCGCGGAGCAGGAGCTCGCACCTCTTCTCGGGGGCGGTCCCTTTCCCAAGGAAAGTGGTTGGAAAAGACCCACGAACCTGGATGGGAGGGCAGACAGTCAAAGAGGTGTGAGAGTGGCCTGGAAACGCGCAGAGGAGCGAGAATGTGTGAGTGAGTGAGTGAGTGAGTGAATGAATGAAAGATGAGTGAGTGCTTTCCCATGGGAAACCCCCCCCATTTGCCCTGTGACTCCCTGCTGCAGGGTGACTCCGGAAGTCCTCTGATTTGCGAGGGCGTCTTCAGGGGCGTCACTTCCTTTGGGAAGTGTGGCGACGCTCGGAAGCCGGGCGTCTACATCCTCCTGACCAAGAAGCACCTGAACTGGATAAGGAAGACCATCAGGGGCGCCGTCGGACCTCCCTGCTCCGGAGCGGGGAGCTGAGGCGGCCCCCCACCGCAGCGAGCGAAGCGGTTTTGCCTGCACCCCCTCCCCGCTCTCCCGACCTGGGGGGGTGGCGCACCGCCCACCCCAAACAGTCTGCAGCCCCTCCCCGCTCTCCCGACCTGGGGGGGCGACGCACCGCCCACCCCAAACAGTCTGCAGCCCCTCCCCGTTCTCCCGACCTGGGTGGGGGGATGGCGGAGCACCGCCCACCCCAAACAGCGCAGAAACGACTTCCTTCGCCCTCGGCTCCTAGTGCATCGTCTGTGACCTCTGTCCCCCACCAGGCGCATCCCTGGGGCGGAGGTTCCCCACTTCCTGACCCTTTGCTCGATTCAGAACTATCCCCTTCCGCGTTTGTCTTTTAAAATGCCTTTAAAAAACATCAAGGAGAAGTCAGAATGTTCTTTATTTTTCAAATGAAGTTTTACAATACCCGTGCCTTTGCAGCCTACAGCCTGAATTTCTACTCAGTGTGGGAATAAGGGGAGGGGGAGGGGTGTTGCTTCTTACTACGTACTTACGTCATGTGTTTGCATTGTTACAAAGTGTTACATGGGAAAGGCAACGAGAAAGACCCGGAGTGTGTTGGAGATATCGGGAATCTTCAGACTTTGAGGACAGGGGTGGTTCTGAGCATGGCCTCACTCATCAGCTATCAGCAGGCTGAAGTTTCCTGCACCCAGGGGTCTCTGCCAGCCAGGCCCCAGGTGCCACCTGTGCCTCGGGGAGTCCGTTTGCTCGTGCGAGCGCTGAGCTCACCGCTCTGTCGTTCCTAACAAACCGTGGCGCCTGGTGAAGAAATTGCTTCTCCGCCCCCTGCCACCTGCAGCTCCCCTTTCCGTCCTGCCGCTGCGCCAAAGAGCGGACTTCTGGTAAAACTCATTCTCTAGGAGTCCTGACTGCCGGACCCGTCTTAATTCCTCAGACAGTTCTCAAGCCCCCGCCCCGTGCCGGGCATCACGACCCGCACCGGAAATGCCGAGACACGGCCACGGCCCCCCCGAGGGCTGGCAACCAGCCCAGCGGAGGGCACGCAGACGCCCCCAAACCAGAGGCCGTCGACATCCGCTCTGCTGGGTGGGGAGGGTGGGGGGGGCAGGCACACGGCCAGCAGCCATCGCGGCTGGAGGGGGGCTGGGGGGGGGGGCCTTTGCCGGCCGGTGCCAGTCCCAGGCGACAGCCCTGGGGAGACGCTGGTCTGTGAGTCAGACACCAGCTGCACCCCTGGGCGGAACGAGACCTCAGCAGAGAGCCGGCCCACACCCCCATCTTCACACCTGTAAACGGGGTGTCACGTCTAATCTAAAAGGGTCTCAAAAGAGGTGCACCCGGAATTTGAAGGTCAGGGTCGTCCTCCACCCCCAGGACAGCTACCACCCAAACCCAGGCAGTGCTGGCGAGGATGGGGAGACACGGGAACCCCCACACTCCCTGCTGGCGGGAGGGGCAGTGGCACAAACGGGGGAAGAGAGCGCCCGGCAGCCCCTCGAAGGGTCCGGCAGGGAGTCGGCACGGGGTCGGGCCCCAGAGACACGCGTGCGGTGTGCACGCCGGGGCCTGCGCGCCCGTGTTCGCAGCAGCGTTCTCGGCGGCAGCCAACACGCGCCCGGAAACAGCCCGCAGGTCTGTCCGCCGGTGACTCCTAAAGGAGACCCGGCGTGCCCGCTCAGTGGAAGGGTGCTGGCGGCAGGAGGAAATGCGGCGTGGACGGGTGGCCCCCGGCGGCGTTCACAGGCGGACTTGGGACACACGGTGCTGAGTGAGGGCCACGCAGAAAGGCCACCTGCCGCGGGACGCCACGTACAGGGAGTGTCCGGCGCTGGGGCATCCTCGGACAGAAAGGGGGCGAGGGAGTGGCTGCCCAGGGGCAGGGGTGGGGGGAGGGGGACTGCCAGTGGGTGTGGGGGCGTTCCTTTCCCCAGGGGCTCGGAGCTTCACGAGTCAGGCGATGCCGGCGGGTGCGCCACCTGGTGGCCGCACTGAAAACCACCGAGTGGCGCGCTTGGAAACGGTGACTTCTTCCGTGTGTGGGTTCCATCCCAGTTCACAGAAAGGGCTGCTGTCGGGGCTCCAAAGCTGAGGCCAGCACCCCTCTCAATGGGCGCGCGGCCCCTCGGAAAGCACCTCCCGCGGAGGGGGGGGTCGGGCCGAGGAGACTCGGGGCCCAGCCGATCACACAGTGTCCCCAAAGGCCCCTGGAGACCTCTGAAAAGAGCTGTTCTGTGGCTGGCCCCCTGCCTTCTTCCCAGCCAGCCTCAGGAAAAGCCGCTCCAGTGCAGGGACAGACGGTGTCTAGACGGGGGGAGACGGGCCGTTTGTCGTTGTGGGTGTCACTGCAGCGGTGACGCTGTCCTGGAGGCCGGTGGCAGCCCTCAGCAGGGACCGATCACCGTCGGTCTCTCCTCCTTCCCTCTCTGAGTCCCAACCCCCTCTTGTTCCAAAGTCTGCAGAAGCAGGTATTTCTGCGAATCTAATGAGGCCACCCCCAGAATCGAAGGCCTGTTTGTCCCCCAGGCCCACGGCCACCCCCCCCCACCCCCGCAGAGAGCACCGAGGGAGCCCGTGCAGAACTGCGCTCCGCCCCCTCCACCCAGCAGAAACCCAGCCCCAGAGGCGGCGGCGTGTCTGGGGCCCCACAGGCCTGCACGTTTCCCTTGATAAACGAACTGCCACCCTGGGGTGGGCCACCTCCCGCTTCCCTGGCTCCCTGCCCTCCCGGCCACGGGCAGGTTCTCACCCCGCCCCCTCCCCGGTCTGCGAGCGCTCATGAACGGCCGGGACTGAGTCTGTCCTGGTCATCTTTGCCCTCGGGCCCAGCACCCAACACTGTGCCTGGCACCTAACGGGCATTCAGTCAGTAAATAGGAGCGTGGCTACGTAGCTCCTATGATCTCACACGCGACCCCAGCAGCCGATTCCCCCCTCCACCGCCGCAGGAAGAGAGCAGCCAATTCAAACGCACCACATGCAGTGCTCTTGGAAAACTTCCATTCACTGATTCACGCAGGGTCTCTAAATGTTGACACGTTTCATGACACAGTAGTTTTAAAATCACATTTCTTCATGTTACTACCAACTCATCAAGCGAGTCCTTGAGCCCTGGCTGGTGAAGCTCAGTGGACTGAGCGCCGGCCTGCAAACCGAAAGGTCGCTGGTTTGATTCCCAGTCAGGGCACATGCCTGCGTTGTGGGCCAGGTCCCCAGTAGGGGGCGTACGTGAGGCAGCCAGCCAATCAATGTATCTCTCACCCATGGACGTTTTTCTCCCTTTCTCCTCCCTTCACCTCTCTCTAAACATAAATAAATAAATGTTCTGTAAATAGTCCTTGAGTGCTAAGAAGAGGTTAAGCTCATGATGGCAGGCACAAGCGCTCCAGGGACCCTAACATCCACTCGAAATCTCTAATTTTATCCTTAGCAGTAAAAGCTGTTTTCTTTCAAGTGACCGGCTTGCCTCATTCCTATCCGAGGAAACGTCCACCAAATAACCAGGTCCGCGTAACTGCCGTCCTCCGCCAGGCGGGCTGGCTCGCCCGGAGCTTCTCGGCCTGCAGCCACGGGGCTCCAGGGAGGCGGCCGAGTGCGCATGTGCTTGCTCCGAGCCCCTCCCGCATCCCACCGAACACTGAACGGCATTTGCCAGAGGACAGAGAGGTGTTAGCATTTTCTTCTGCTGCTTTTACTCTTTCATCCCTGTCGCTCTTACGTGAAACTGGATTATTTCTCTTTCTTTCTTCCTTCCTCCCTTCCTTCCCTCCCTCCCTTCTTTTCCTTCTTTCTTTCCTTTTTTTTCTTCCTTCCTTCCTCTTTCCTTCCTTCCTTCCCTCCTTCCTTCCTTCCCTCCTTCCTTCCCTCCTTCCTTCCTTCCTTCTCTCCTTCCTTCCTTCCTTCCTTCCTTCCTTCCTTCCTTCCTCTCTTTCTGGCACCGACCATATAGAATACAGCGACCACTAGCACTGCTTGTTGCTTGGGCACTGACCTGTACAAGGGCTCCAGCAGTTTCACCTGTTACCACATTGGTGCCATCAGTGAAAATATCGACACGCAGGTGCAAAGGCAAGCACCATTTTAATATTACTAGGAAAATAGTTTTGACCTTATGAACCCCAAAAAGGGTCTCAGGAACCCCCAGGATTCTACAAGTCGTACCACTGGTTTACAATATTGCAAGGGTTCATGCACAGCTAGAATAAACTAATTTTTCCCCCAAGAATATAAAGAAATAGCCTGCATACACAATTTTTAAAGTGCATATTTTGTAGTCAAAACAATCTTGAGAAAAGATCGTTAGAGCAGAACACAGTTGGTGGGAAAGCTGGCGGACACACAGTTTTCTATCTCAGAACTTCCTGCGAGGCCAGAAACTCTAACACTCTTAGAAAAAACGAAAGGGTGAGTCTCTGTGGCGCTGGTGAGTCAGTCACCCCTGTGGTGACACCTGAGACGCAAGTGAGGAAAGAGGCTGATGAGTCGGACTTCCTCGAAATTGAAACTTTTGTGCTTCAAAAGACGCCACCGAGAAAAATAGAAGACAACCCACAGACTGGGAGAAAATACTTGCAAATTATGTATCCTACACGGGGCTCCTATCCAAGTCCATAAGATCGCGGGATTCCTGAGACAGGACCCCTGGGTCTAGTCATCCGGGTGTTAAGTTGGGTGGCTAGTTTAGCGCCAAACATTACAGTTCAATAATAAAAAAAAAATTAAAAATAGGCAATATATTTGAGTAGACATTTCTCCAAAGAAGATATATTGTATAAATGTCTAGTAAACACATAAAAAGAAGCTTAACATGATTAGTCATTAAAGAAACGCAAATAAAAACCACAGTAAGAGAGGACTTCACACCCACTAGAATAACAATGACTTTTTTTAACAATAAATAACACGTACCGGCAGTGATGTAGAAAGAGTGAAACCTTCATACATTTTTATGGGAATATACAAGAAAATGGTGCGGCTGTCTTGGACCGCTGTTTAGAAGTTTCCCAAAATGTTAAACACGGAGTTCCCGCGCGACCCAATTCTCATGTTCCTAGGTCTGTGCCCAAGAAAAACGAAAACATATTCCCACGCAAAAACTCACACATAAACGTTACAGCAGCGTTATTCATAACAGGCAAAAAGTAGAAACAATCCAAATGAGTATCAACTGATGAGTGGATGAATCTATTCATACAATGGAATATCATTTGGTAATAAAAAGAAAAAATACTGATGTGTTACACGAGCCTCAAACGTGTTATGAAAGAAAAAGTCAGAACAGAGCACATGCTCTCTCCCACGCCACTGCCATGAGAGGTCCGGCGTGGACAGACCCACGGAGACAGAAGGCGGGTCCCAGGTCGTCTAGGGCCGGGGAGGGGGAGGGAGGGGTCACGGGGAGCCACAGGCTTCTTTCGGAAATGAGGAAGGTGTTCTCGAGTTATGGGGCTGGCCAAAAATTTCATTTTCTTCCTCCGTGAGACGGCTCTAGTAGCGCGCCTAGTTGTCTTTAACTTCACTCGAAACACGTTTTTTAGATTGCATGGTGACAGCTGTCCTATCAAGATGCATTTTTTTAAAAACTGATCAAAACTGGTGAATTTTTGTGTAGTCATTTTTAATATTGAAGATGGAAGGAAACAGGAAAACATTTTTGGCATATTATATTTTATCACTTCAAGAAAGGTAAAAATGCAACTGAAACGCAAAAAAAAAAAAGACTTGTGCCGTGTGTGGAGAAGGCACTGTGGCGGATGGAACGTGTCAGAAGTGGTTTCTGCAGTTGCGTGCTGAAGACTTCTCTCTGGGCGATGCCCCACAGTCGGGCGGAGCAGGTGACGTTGACAGCGATCACCTGGAGACAGTAACTGAGAACAATCGCTATACCACGTGGGAGATAGCCCACGTACTCAAAATATCCAAATCAATAAAGTTATTGGTGAAAATGAAAAATGTGTCCTTTATTTTACGGGAAAAAACTACATGGACTTCTTAGCCAACCCAATCATCGCGGAGGTGGCTGCCCGACGCAGTCAACATGCTAAAAACCACACGCGGCACGTAGAGAGAAACAGATCCGCCAATGTTTCCTTCGAGTCTGAGTAAGTCCAGTCAGTCGGCGCTTGGCTCTCTTCACGGCCGTCTCAGAACTGCCAAAACCAGAGCCTGGGCATCCCACTGCAATGGCTGGCCCTGCGGAGCCTGTGATGCACTAGCGATTCCGGGAAAAGGAAACCTAGGGGCGCACCGGGGCGGGGGGCAGAGGGGGGGCGACTCCTCTCGGGGCCACATGATTTCTGCAAAGTAACCCTCGGGTCTGGAGCCCTCAGGGTGTCAACTCTGGGGAGGGCTGGTGTGACGCCGACCTCGCGTCAGGACAGAGGACCAAGTGTGTGACCATGAAGACCACATCCTCAGCTCAGGAGAGGGGCAGGGGCATCTCTAAGAGAAAGCTCACGGCTCAGTCCCTTCGAGGCCCAAAGCTGGTCCCCCCTTAGAGTGAGGTCACCCCCCCGCACTGCAACAAGATCACCGCGTCTGAGTCCCGTTTTTCCTTCCGCAGGTAGTCACATCCAGACCCCAGGAAGGGAGGAGGGCGGGAAGGGGGCAGGCAGTGCGGGGAGACGGGAAGACCGAGGGGGACTCAGGAACACTTTCCAGGACCTGAAGCTGTGAAACCCGTCGGGGGTCTGGAGAGAGCCACCAGCCCCACCCCCGCAGCCCCGTCCCCACACCCCCGGGACCCCAGACGGGAGCCCACGACACCGCCCCACACCAGGTGGGGAGGGAGGCCCAGGCCAGTGCCGACTGAGGGGGCAGGAGTCATCGCCCTCACCCTGACCTGCTGGTCCTCCGTCCCCCAGATCGGTAACCAGAAGGGGGTAGGTCGTGGCCAATCTGGAGGACATTTTTAGAGCTGGAACTGAAGTCTCTCTCCACAGGGCGCCCACCCGAGTGGGAGCTGGAGTTGCTGATGCTGGAGCCAGAGCCCTCACACCTGCTCGCGCACCTCCAAGTCTCCCCTCAGGGCTCCGTGCTGGGGGCCAGGGCCCCTCTCCCTGAGCGGTCTGGGGGGGGGGGGGGGGGGGGGCGCTGCTGGAGGCGGGGTGGGGGGGGCGGGGTGCGTGCTGCGGCCGGCCGGGGAGCTGTTCTCACTGCTGCTCTTTCGCTTTCGAGGGCTCGCCACTTCCTCTCCGCTCTGGGTATAAAGCCCCGACGGGCCGGACCTGAGCACAGCACGCCGATTGATGTGGGCCCGGCAGCCGCAATGAGGAACCCCGGAGCTCGCCCGTCGCCCTCCCTCTCGGTGGCACTTCTTCTCCTGCTGGTCCCCGAAGGTAAGACCGGCTCGTGTCACCTCCCTTACAGCCCGAGGGGCAGACCTGCGGGCAAGGGGCCGCAGGAGCTCAGGGCACTGGGAGACCCTCCCCCGAGCCCCGGCCTCCTTTCTTTGAGTATGAACATGTCTCTACTTCGGGGGGGAAACATCCTTCTTTCTCCACCCGCCCCCCCGTTTCTTCACAAAAGATTGTAGAACTGCTGACAGCCCAGACACCCCTGGGTCAGGACCTGACGGCACCTTTCGGGGGGAGGGGGGGCCCTCAGCCTTTCTTGCTGCAGAAAAAGCAGACCGCCGTAATGGCACTGAGATGCACTTGACTTACACCTCCCCAAAGCGAGTCAGGAGCAGCTAGAATCTTCACCCTGTTTCTCCAGGCCAGTGCGGGCGGTCTCGGGAGGTGTCTGCACCGGGAGCGCCCCCACACCTGCTCTGTGGGGCGGCTGCAGTGTTCCGTGCTGAGCTGGTTCTCCCGTGCGCTGAGGAGTGGCCCGCGTGTCTGGTCTCGTGTGGGGCTCACATGCATGCTTCCATGTGAAAGGCTGTAAAAACCCGTGGCATCCTTGCTACAAGGGTCACAGCCCGCAGGGTAGCTGCAGGGTGTCTTTAGAAGCCCCTCCAGGAGGGGAGGACCCTCCAGAGCCCGTCTGGACCGTGTGGGCGAGCGCGGAGCAATGGAGGGCTTGCCCAGGGTCAGCTGTGGCGGTGGGAGTGACGGGCGGGGGCAGTTCCCAGAGTCCCCTGGTTCATCTTGCACCTGAAAATGAGGAGACCATCAGAATCCAAGGCTGCGGGTCAGCTGGGGTGAGAGAGTGGGCGCAGGACCGGCACGGCTAGTACCGCGCCCTCCGGCCGCGCCGCGGGGAACACAGAGAGCGGCGCACAACTCCAGGCGCGCCGTCTCTGCGAGGGAAACCTCGGAACCCACGGGCTCGGCTCTGCCCGGCTTCCTGCCGCTGGGAGGGCGGCCTGGGCCCTCGGGGGGGACAGACCCCGAAAAGCGACACCCCGCACGGGGAAGATGCTCTGCAGGGTTTTTAAATGGCAGGGACATCCCCGCCCCCGCCCCCCCCCCCCCGCGCCCCACCAATCCCGGTTTGTTTGGGCTCTGGGGGGCGCCCACGAGCTGCCAGCTCCAAAACAACGTTCCCGCGTGTTCTAAGGCCCAGCCGCTTCTAGGACGGTTGGCTGTGGGAGCCGTGGACCTTTTTCCGAGCGGGTGTATGTGCCCCCCAAACACGGGACTCTGCCAACGAGGGGGTCCTGTTGGCTTCTGCACCCCGCAAGTCCCGGAGAGGCCCCTTGGGGGTCTGTCTATACAGGATACACCCCAGGGAAAACTGAGATGTGGGTGGGGTTCTCTCAGTTTCTCTAAGCTCCTGCTCCGTTTCCTCCCCCTACAAGTTCCCGCCCCGCCCCCTCCTGGAAGGGAGGGCCCTTGTGGCCCCCTCTCCCTCCCCTCACTCTCACGACTGACTCCCTGCTGGGACTCTGGCAGGGAGGCCGCGGTGGGCACGGGGTGACCAGTCCTGGGCCCTGTTTCAGGAACCGTGGGTCCGGGCCAACGGCCAGGGCAGAGGTTTTAGGAGACTCCTCCCAGAACGTCAGGTGCCGGGAGGTGGAGTTCGGAGTATTCCCGAGGCCCAGGACCTTCTTTCTAAACCTTGCGTCTCGGTCTCCCGTCCTCCAGGAACGAGCCTAACCCCTGGCCTGTCATCGGGGACGGGAGGAAGGCAGGAGCCCCTCCTCACAGCCTCTCCTGTGCTCCCTCCCCCCGCCCCCTCCCCGGGAAAGAGCCGTCAAACCACGCGGTCCAGCCTGGAGAGGGAAGGGCCCGGGGGGGGGGGGGCAGCTGACATCATTCCCTGGACGTATGCACCAGGAGAGTGCAGGTTTCTGCGAAAGGAAGTCTCACAAGGGCCAGAGGACTCGCGGGCAAGGTCACAGCTCAAAGGTGCTAGCCTGTTTGTGAGCTAGGTGTTGTTGCAGCAACTTGGGGTGCAGAGCAGAGCACCCAGGCTTCTCACAGCCTCTCTCCTTGGCCGGACTACCGCCAGGCCTGAAAGGGGGTGAGGTGGGAGGCTGTCAAGGTCGTCTTCATCCCTAGCATCTCCTGTAGCGACTGTTACTGTAGAGGCCAATGCACAGCAGCTGCCCAGCCTTTGCAGGCCCGGAGGCCTGAGGTCAGAGTTGCAGCCTGAAGATCCCCGAACTGCCAGTGGCGTGGCTTCTGCGGGCGGGGGGGGGGGGAGAGGGACCTGTGGGCGAATCCAGCAGGGGCGGGCGTGCATTCAGACATCTGGACGTCTGCATGGAGGGGAGGGGGTGCAGGGGCGGCAGGGGCCGTGCCCCCACCCCCCCGCCTGCACTTCCGCTCCGGGTCTGGTCTCAGAATCAAGGCTTGGGGCAGCGCTCGACGGGGCAGGCATGGCCGTGACTTGCCTTCCTCTCCTCAGCTCTCTGCGTGCAGATCATCGGAGGGAGCGAGGTGACTCCTCACTCCAGACCCTACATGGCGCTGCTCTCCGGGGTGAACAGCAGCATCTGCGGGGGGGCCCTGATCGAGGACAGATGGGTGCTGACCGCCGCTCACTGCCTCCTGTAAGTGCTGGGCTGGGGGCGGCAGCTCGTGGGGACACCCCGGTTCCGGGGAAGAGTGATTTAAAAAGGACACCCCTCGAAAGCCAGGGAGGCGCTCTGGACTCTGGCTCCGCCCCGACCAGGAGTCAGGTGCAGACTGAGCCCCAGCGAGGGAGGCCTCCGGGGGCAGCACCCACAGCTCTGTCTGAGGGTGCTGTGGCAGCCCCCCACCCCCACCCTGGCCCAGGGGCCAGGCGGCTTGGTCTGCCTCCCATTCCACGGCTGGGGGAGAGCAAGCCCAGCCCCCAGTCCCCCCTGGGGCGGCCCACAGCGGTCGAGTTGAGAAAGCTCGTCCCCAGGGCCCCGAGTTCCCCTGCGTGAGCCGCCTGCCCGCTCACCTGCGGCCGCCCAGCGGGCCACCCGCTCGCTCCCTCCGGCGTGGTCCCGTCTCCACTCCCGGAATCCGGCCTCTACGCCTGGCTGTCCGATGTGATGGCCACTGTCGCACTACGCAAAAGCCATGCGACTGTATAACTTTAAATACAATTTCAAATCGATTTCCTCGGTCACGCTCCCCACACTGCTCATCCTCAGCAGCCGTGTGTGGCTCCCGACCCCCACGTGGATGGCGCAAACACAGGGAACATCCCGTCATCCCCGCTGTGCTGTGCCCCGTGCCCCGAGCTCACATCTCAGCGAGACTCCTGTCCGCTGGGGGGTGGGGGCTCGGCCGTGTGGGCATCGCGCTGGTGCGGTTGCCACTGGCTTGGGAATGGTCCTCACCTTAATCGTGAACGCCCCAGAGCATGTTCCGATGTTATGAATCAAAACGAACCTTTAGCACGGAGCGGGAGGGTCGGTGCGGGTGCCTCCTGCAGGCCACCCCCGCCCCAGGCGCCCACACTCAGTGCCAGGCAAACAGGGTCCCCACCGGACGGTCGGTTTCTGAACGCTGACCCATTCCGGACGAGGCTGTCGTCGCGCCACGACGATAAGTGGGCCCCCCTTACCAGCACCAGGTGGCTTCTGTCTCTAGACCACTGAGCCCTTCATCTCCTGTGATCGGCTGCTTGATGCTCTGTCACAGCTGAAGGAGGGGCGGGGGGCAGGAAACCCACCAGAACCCCAGCAAAGACCCCAAGACCAGGCGTAGCTGCCGTGGGATTCTCAATAGACCTCGCTTAACATTCAACAGACCTCATATTCCTAGCATAGACCTGCTAGGAATACGCGGGTGGCGACGGCGAGGTTGATGGTGAGGGTGAATTCTCCAACATCTTTTATACAAAAAAGAATAAACATCTTTTTATTCTTTCAAGCACCCATGCTGCTTTCTGATCTCCCCACAAGCACGTCTGTGGCGAGCAGGTGCGCACAGGGGACGAGGCAACCGGCCGGCCCGCGGCGAGCTCGGCTCCCCGCGGACAGCGTAGACGCGGTGACAGCCCTGTGTCCGTTTTCAGGAACAAAAGGTCCACAGTCACTCTCGGGGCCCACTCGAGATCCAAGAAGGAGCCGGAAAAACAGATACTGTTCGTGAAGAAAGAGTTTCCCTACCCGTGCTACGACCGGGACACACACGAGGGCGACCTCAAACTGCTGCAGGTGCGGTCCCTCGTCCGAGCCCCCGTGGCGACAGACTGCACCCACACCAGGGGGCGTGGGGGTCCCTGCAGGCTATAAAAACGCGAACAGTTTCACTGTCTCATTCTTGTAACTCTTCCCGCTTGCCTTCCAACAGCTGAAGAAAAAAGCAACCATCAATAAGAACGTGGCCATCCTTAACCTCCCTAAGAGGGGGAGTGACGTCAAACCAGGAACCAGCTGCCAGGTCGCGGGATGGGGGTTGGTAAACAATCGGCGGCAGGTGCTCGCCGATGGCCTGAGAGAAGTCAACGTCACGGTCATTGACAGGAAGACCTGCAACGACGCACAGCACTACAACTACGACCCCGTGATCGGGATGAACATGCTCTGTGCAGGGAACCCCAAAGGCGGAAAAGACTCGTGCCACGTAAGTACGCGGCGGCCCCGCCCTCCGCCCACTCCTGCCGCGTCCCAGGTCTCAGCGAGGTGTGTGGTTCAGCGAGAATAACACATTTTCTGCCGGTGCGTGCTGACCCCCCGACACCTTCTCGTGTCCTATCAAAACCCCCCAGCAGCCCTGGCCGGGGGCTCAGTTGGTTGGAGCATTGTCCCATACACCAAAAGGTTGCCGGTTCAATTCCCAGTCAGGGTTCTGGGTTCAGTCTGGGGTTGGGGTGTGTGTACAGGAGACAACTCATCAATGTTTCTCTCTCCCATCGAGATGTCTCTCTCTCTCTCTCTCTCCCCCTCTCCCCTCCCCTCCCCCCTTCCTGCCTTCCTTTCTCTCTAAGATCAATAAGCATATATATCCTTGGGTGAGGATTTAAAAAAAAAAAAGCCCACCCAAGAAGCAATGTTGTTTTTTACCCCATTTTTCACTTTCAGATATGTGGAGAAGAGTAATTTTTAAAATTTTTAAATTTTTAAAACGGTAACACTTGGGAGAGCCAAAGTCAGGGTTGCTCTAGGCCCTTCCGAGCCCTTTCCCCCGAACTCGGCACAGCCCCAAGCCCCTCTGCCCCTGCACCGGCAGGCTGACAGGCCTGCCCCCCCCCGCCCACCGAGCCAGACCGAGGACCGCAGGCCAGCCCCCCCGCCCCAGCTTCCCAGACCCAAGTCCAAGGCCAGGAGACCACACGCAGGCACGACCCACACAGAGAGGACGCGGAGGCCCTGTGACAGGGTCCCCGAGAAGGGACGGGACAGGGCCCCGCGTGAGGGCAGAGGCAGCAGACACACTGTAGGTTCTTAAGCCCCGGATGCGAGCTGTCATTCCCCCCCAACCCGAGCTGAAGACCCCGCAGGGGCCGCTGGGAGAGCAGCGTGCACGCTGGTCTGGGAGCCCGCAGACCTGAGTGGGCCCCCGTCCCTCTTCCTTCCCGGGGCCTCCCTAGCCTCAGCAGCACCGGGCAGCTCGCCCGGGGGGCAGGGTGGGGCCGTTCCCAAGAAAGGTGGCCTCCGGCTCCTGCAGCCGCCGCTCGCTCTCCCGGCCCCGCACCCTGCCCCTCCGGTCCTTCACACGCTGGGCACCCACAGCCTGTGTGCTGTTGGGACCCACACACGACATCCCAAGATGCCACCCTCTGCCATCCAAACTCAGCCGTCCTCGGCCCGTTCTCGCAATGGCTCTGGGGGGACTGAACCGGAAGGACTCGTTCTGAAGTTTCCAGGCGGTCCGCGCACTCCTCCGTGGGGCAGGAGACAGAGCTCAGGGCAGGAAGGGCCCCAGCCGCTCACGGGGCCCCTGACTTCAGACCCGCAGGGGCCAGTTCTCCCAGGAGCCAGGAGCGGGAGGCCGCCCCGCCCTCGCGCTGCTGGACTGGAGCCAGCCACAGCCCCGAGTCTGCAGAGCGCTGTGCACAGCCCTGGGGCCCTGCGCCCCAGCCAGCAGCAGGGACGCGGGCCACAGGCCACTCCCCGCGGGCACAGTGGGCAGAGTGACTCGGGGGCTTCCCGCTGCGGGGAGTCGCTCGGCCGCGGAGTCCCTGCTCGGAGGGGAAGCGTGGGTCTCGGGGCTCCCGCCCAGCGTCAGCGCAGACGTGGGGAGAGGGTGTTGTCCGTCCGAGAGGGGGAAGGAAAGGCTGCTCTGGTGTCCTGTCTTGGGGAAGGCAGGAGTTTCTCTCTGCGGGAGAAACTCGGAAGTGTGGTTTCTGGTTTTCGTCTGCATCTGACCCTTTGGCCCCTGAGTTACGAAGCACCCTGGGAAAACGGCACAGGGTCTCCTTTCTGAAGCAGAGACTGGGTCCCAAAGTTACGGGACAGCGCAGACGGCAGTGCCAGCTCCGCTTCTGCTTCCCCTGGTGCGTGAGTCAGTCCAGGACGCCCGTCGAGGCACACTAAAACAGCCTCAGCGTGTCGGTTCTGGAGGCGCTGGCTTTCAGTGAAGGGAAGGCTGGTCTCTGCTCCACTTTGAATGGGACTTCTCCCGCTCAGTGATGGCCACGCCCCCCACCCCACGCCGTCCCCTGCTGACCCCGCCCCTCTCGTCCTCGCCAGGGAGACTCGGGAAGCCCTCTGATCTGCCAGGGCATCTTCAGGGGCGTCACCTCCTTCGGCAAGCCGGACAAGTGCGGAGACCCCCGGGGGCCTGGCGTGTACGTGCTGCTGTCCCAGAAGCACCTCACCTGGATCATCCAAACGATGAAGGGGGCGGCCTAGGTCCCCGTGCATCATGTCATTTGCTGCCACTTCTCACTCCCGTCATAAATAAAGTCAGGGCGCATGACCATCCCCGCTTCTGTCCGATGACTCCAGGGGGCAGAGCTCCCCAGCGCAGTGAGGCTGCCCCATAGAGTGGCCTTGGGGGGGGGGGTGCAAGGGAGCCACCCGGGAGCGGTGTCCCCAAGCCAGCCACGGGTCAAGTGACGCGCAGACGCGGCTCTGTCCGAGCCCCTGCACTGCCCCTCTGGGACCCAGGAGGAGGGGCCCTCGGTCAGGGAGGGCGTCTGGTGACCAGCGCAGCAGAGGGCCCCGCGGGGCTGCGGGGGGTCGGAAGCAGCCGGACGGGAGCGCGGGAGAACTTGCCCTTCCAAGTTCACTGTCCCACGTCTGCCCCCGCGCTTCAGAGTTACGGGGAAACCCTGAGTCTCTGGGAGAGGCAGGAACCGGACGTGCCTTTCAGTGTGCCCCGCGGGCAGGGGGGAACAGGCAGTGAAATTCTAGGAGACACCACGAAGCAGCCGCTCCTGCGCCTGGGCAGCTCCCACCACCACGGGGGGCGGGGTGGGGAGGGGGGGGTGCACAGTAGCCGCCCATCCCGCCCGCAGCGGGGAGTCCGAGTGGAGTGCAGCCAGAAGGCGTCCTTCGGAGAAAGCCCCGGCGTGTGCACGCAGCGCATGGAACCTGGTGGACGGTCGTTCGCCCGGCAGCTGCTTCGAGAAGTGACTGTGTGGGCAGAGCCCCTTGGATGTGCATGAGTTCCTTCAGGCACATAAATCTGATGTGTGCACACACACCCCACGCATGCCTGGCCCGAGAACACGCAGCAACACTGAGGGACGGGCTCTTACAGCAAGAGAAGAAACACACCTCAGAAACGGCCCGAACCCTGGCGGTCCATTTGCACCCACGGCTGCCCATTAGACTGACCTTTCACATTACCGACGCCCAGGCCCCGCCCCTGGAACTTTCTGTGTGATTGGCATTCGGTGGCCCCAGGACAGGGCCTTCCTCACACCGGCTCCCCAGCGACAACACACGCAGCCGGACAGCAGAGCCCCACACTGGGCAGTGGGTCCCGGTGCTGATACCCAAGACAGGCTCCAGCAGACTCACCAGGATGGCGTTTCGTATACCACCCCCCACCAGTTCCTAGTTCCCCGCTAGGGCGTCAACCGCAGCCAGGGGAGGGACTGTCCTGCACCACCACACCCTCCCCCTCCCCCCGCCCCGGCAGCGTCTGTTACAGAGGCTGCGGCCCCCTCACAGAGCAGTCGTGCGGCCCCCTCGTGCCCTGCTGGTGGAGGTGTGAGTGGTGCAGCTCCTTAGGGAGAGTGGCCGCGTCTGTTCAACTACATGCGCACGTGCTCTGCAGCGACCTAACGATCCCACCCGTGGGCACACACCAGACGGGGACGAGCGCTTTCCTCCCCACCGAGATGGGTCCCGGAATCTGCAGAGGAGCTGTATTCTCAAAAGTCAGAGCTGAAAATAACGCAACGGTCCACCCACCATAAAACGGACACACCCTCGCACACCTCACGACGGAATATCGCACAGCGAGGAAAGAGCAAACCCTCGTGACAGGCAGCAGCGCGAATCCGCCCTGCAAATGTGGTGTTGGGTGGGAGAAGCCAGGCAGTCAACGTTGTCTGTGCGGTTCCGTTCCCCCGGAGGCTGGCCCTGGGCGAAACTAGCCCACGGGTGCGAGGCCGGGAAACACGGGGTGTCGACTGGGAGGAGGGGAGAGGGAGGGATGGGGAGGAGGGGAAGCAGGAGGAGGAATGAAGGGGAGGGGAGGAGAAGGCAGAGAGAGAAGGATGGAGGGTCCGAGAGGAGGTCAAGGTCCGGGCCTGCAGTGGGAGGGAGCGGAGCCAATGGCCGCAGCCAGCAGGTGGGAACAGGTGGCGCCCTGGAGAGAGTTCCTCACGTAGCTCGACCCTCCCAACGCCCCCGTGCAGAAGACACACCCCAGCTGTTCCTGTCACCGAGAAGTGAGGGGGTGACACATCGGCTGTGCCACCCACCGCAGCTGACCCCGCCAGCGGCCGGCGGGAGGAGGAACAGGCAGCCGTTGTGCACCGCCCAAGGGCTGGTGCCAAGGACGGGGGGGCCCCCCAGGTGGGGCCAGGGGTCCCTTCCCAGAACAAGGGCTCCCCCAAACCCGCCGCCTTCAGGGCAGGCAGGCGGCACCTCAGATGTGGCGACGCTGCCAGGGCGGACCCGGCCAGCCTCGCGAGGTGCCCAGGTGTCGCTTTGCTCTCCCTTCGCACCGGTTTCCTGTGGTTGCCATGCCAACTTGCCACAAACCACATCACTGCAGACGACAGAAACTTATTCTCTCCAGCTCTGGGGCCGGAAGCCCAAAATCAGAGCGACGGCCGCCCCCTCCCCCCACCCCGGGGGCTCCAGACTCTGCGCCTCTTCCCGCTTCCCGCCGCTCCCCCCAGCCCCGGACCTGTGGTCACATCGCCTCCCGTTCTGTCCCCCGTAAGGACCCTTGTGGTCGGATCCCAAGCCCCTCTGGATAATTCCGGATGACCTCAGCTCGAGGCCCTTAACTTCACTGCAACTGCAAAGACCCTTCTTCCAAACAAGGTCACGTCCGCAGGTTCCAGGGATTTGACGTGGCTGTTTTGGGCAGGGAGGGGGCCGTGTCCAGCCCGCTACAGCCCGCAGGCCCCACGCTTCAGGAGCTCTGCCCTCTCTGACCCACCAGCCCCAGACACTGCTGGGTCCCGCTCCCTCCCTCCTCTTACCCCCCCCAAACTCACCCCCCGGGGGCCCCGGTTTCAATAAACTGGCCAAAGGAACAGATGCAGCTTCCTGGAAACGGACCCCAGAATCTCTCCCGGGAAGCGCACTCGGGTGTCACTCGTGGACTTCTGGGAACACCCTCTTTCGGTGTCCACTGGTGGTTTCTCGTAGAACACGCTTGGGGCCACCGCTCTGCGTGAGGCTGGGGGGTTAACAGTGATGGGGGTGTCATTGTGTAACCGGAAGAGACACCGGCATTCGGGCTGCCCGTCACTACCAAACCCAATAAGCAATGACAGTGATTGAATCTTTTATGGGCGCTTTATTCAGATGGCCGGCGATCGGAGAACATGGCGGGTTCATACCCTAACAAACCATCTTCCCCTTTCCTTCCTGGCCAGATCTTTTCATAAGGGGAGCGGGGAAGGACAACCACTGTGTGGTGAGGGCTTTGAGATTCAGCAGCTGCAACATTCCTGTCCTGCTTCTTCCTGGTACAGATGTCCCCAGGCGGTCATCTCTAGCCAGTGACCCAGGAGGTCGGCTGTTTTTTCTCAGGTGCCAGGAGGGGCCTTATCTGTAGTTATTGAAACGAAAGCTTAACATACACATGACCTGCTAGATTTATGGCTATTTACCTTAAGCTAAAATTTTCCGAGTCTTAAGCCCCTATCAATTACATGTTCTCATCGGTCTGGGAGCTCCGGGTGGGACAATCAAGCAGGACCCCAGGCTGTTACACGCACCGGACCTGCCGGGAGGTGGGCTGTGACGGCCCGGTTCTGAAACTCACGTGGCCAGAGTCCTTTTGACTTGAGCTTCCCCAGAGACCCGTGTTCCTGGGAAATACTTCGCAGACCCTGTTCTAACGCGACGGTGACTTTCATGATCAGAGCTTCAGGCCAAAACAGAGGAAGCCGACCCCATGAGAGGGGGAAGATGGGGCACACGGAGAAGGAGGCCAGGTGAGAGCGGGTGGGTATTCGGGGACACGGCTGAAGTCAGACCAGCGGGGCGGTCGCCTCCTCATAGGACTCGCATGGCTTATAAGTCGGTTAAGGGCTGGAATTTCAGAAGCAGTCCTGGACTCGGATACCAGAGCCTCGCAGAGCAGAGAGCGTTGGGGCCGGGCGAGTAAGGCATCCGGGGTGTGCAAGACCTCAGCGGGAGGACCCTGAGTGCACAAGTGGTAGCTGGCAGACCCAGGTCGAGGGGTGGCAACCGGCAGACCCAGCGAGGTGGCGACTGTGAAGCAAGACACTGCGAGCAACCCAAGGTCCCAGCGCTGGGAAATAGAGCCTTGGGGCACTGATTGAAAACACCTGTGGGGGTTGAGGCACAGGGGGAGACTCCCAGCCTCACAGGAGGGGTCATTAGAAAGTCCCACGGGGTGCACAAGCCCACCCACATGGGAATTGTGTGGGGCCCAGTTTGCTCGGGGGAAGCGGTGGAAGGGACTGAGGTCCAACAGAGAGTGGAGCAAGTACCATTGTTCCCTCTCAGACCCCGCTCCCACATACAACGTCACAACCCAGCAACTGGGGTGCCCCACCCTGGTGAACACCTAAGGCTCCGCCCCTCATACGTAACAGGCACCACCAGACCAAAGGGGCAGGGGGAAGATGGCTCAAACAGAATTGAAAGCCCCACAAGCATTACTTTTAAGCAACCAAGAGATAGCCAACCTATCAGATGCACAGTTCAAAGCACTGGTGATCAAGCACAGAGTTGGCTGATTTTGGTTGCAAATTAGATGAACAAATGCAGGCTACGATAAGAGAAATGAAGGAAAATGCACAGGGAACCAATAGTGATGGGAAGGAAACTGGTACTCAAAACAATAGAGTGGACCAGAAGGAAGAAAGAAACAACCAAACAGAAAAGAATGGAGAAATAAGAATTTTAAAAAATTAGGAGAGGCTTAGGGACCTCCAGGACATCTTTAAACATTCCAACATCTGAATCATAGGGGTAGTAGAAGGAGAAGAGGAAGAGCAAGAAATTGAAAACTTATTTGAAAAAATAATAAAGGAGAACTTCCCCATTCTGGCAAAGGATATAGACTTCCAGGAAGTCCAGGAAGCTTAGAGAGTCCCAAAGAAGTTGGACCCAAGAAGAACACACCAAGGCACATCATAATTACATTACCCAAGATGACAGATAAGGAGAGAATCTTAAAAGCAGCAAGAGAAAATGAGAGAGTTACCTACAAAGAAATTGCCATAAGAATTCCCAGAAATCAGCTGATTTATCAAAAGAAATCTTGCAGGCAAGAAGGGGCTGGAAAGAATACTCAAAGTCATTAAAGG